TATATGCCAATAATCTTATTTTTTTAAATAGGATGTCTATTATTACGGTACAAATAGGACAATGTGGTAATCAACTGGGACATAACTTTTTTCAAAGGCTAGCAGAAGATAATTTAAATAAATCATCAAAGACAAATGAACAATTCCACAGGTAATTAAATAAATTTAATTTTCCCGTAGCGTATATATTTATATAATTTCTAGGAAACATATGTTTATGGTCCCTCTTATTTACCGCTTCGTGCCAATTTGACAATTTTTAATATGTGGGGGCGAAAGGAAAGGGGGGAGAGGATAAGCAATGCAAAATATCTTCCTACCTCCTATATTAGCAAAATTGAATAGCTAATTAAATATTTATAATAACGAATATTTATTATATTATTTTTTCATATATATTATTAAATATTATTTAAACTCCATTTTTTTTATTGTTGACATTTAAATATAATAATATATTTCTGCAAGCTTGATACCGTATTATGATTCAGTAGAGATAAGAAAGAAAAGAAGAAATAATATAATAATAAATAAAAAGAGACACTTCCCATATATATCGGAGAAAATTTTCTTTTTCACTGTGGTGGTACATGGCTAAAAGTACACCTGGTACAAGCCAGGATATTCATGGTGGGTAGTTAAACAACCGCTTTTAATGTAAGTACATCACATTTCTACACATGTGGAAAGCAATTCAACTTTTGCACTTACAAGTGTCCCAGATCTCTTTTTGGTGGGGTTGGATTTTTCAAGAATCAGGGGTTATTGGAACATTTTTTTTTAATTAGAAAAAAGTGCCCAATGTGGGATTTAATCCTGGATCATAGTGGTCAAAGACCAATGGTTTAGACTATGGATCCATCAATCCCCCTAAAATAAAATCTTATTTTTAAAACAGAGTGTATGACGTGGCAGATTTTTCAAGGAGTCTGACCTAAAGGAAGGTGTTCCGGAAGCCAGAGCTATCTTATTGGATACCGAACCTAAGGTAACCATCATGGTTTCATCATTATTTTAGTTATCAACATGTGAAAAATTAAGAAAAAATAAGAAAAAATCATCAGTTGTTGTTGATACAGTAGAACCTCTCTGTAAAGGATATCTAGTTTCAGAGCCAAAGTGTCTTTTAGGGAGAAGTGTCCTCTTACCGGAGATGTTAAATAGTAAAAATGGTAATTTCGGGTATGAAAACTGTCTTTTATAGAGAGGTGTCCTCTAGCGGGAGTGTCCTCTCATGGAGGTTCTACTGTACCAAAATAAAAAAAAAAGATATATCCTGATTGTTCATATGAGAATTTATATGGTGTATATATGGTAGCCTTGTAATGTTCAACCTGCAACCCCAAAACACATTATTGACTGTATTGACTCATCTATTGATGAGCTCTACTCTTCACCGGAAGACACCATCAAAAGTCTCAAACTTTACAGGCTTGATACCTTAATATGATTGAGTGGAGATAAGAAAGAAGAAGATATGGTAGCATGCCCAGAAGTCCAACCCCTCCTCTACGTGGCGGACAAGAGAAGCAGCACAAGTAAGGGACTGCCCTGTAGGGCGAACTACAGTGTCGTGAGCCCCAAGCTGCTATGGTAATTGTGAATAGGGAACTCTGAAATGTGGCTGACTAACGGGAAAATGGCACCCCCCTCATTCCATGGAGCAACAAAAACCACCACATATATATGGTAGAGCGCCATCTATTGGAACAAAAATTAACCAAATGTTGATTTAGGCTTATTCCTTAATATTTGGTCAAACCAATTTTTGATAAATCATTCCGAAACACATTTGTGGTTGGCTTCTCTTTGATATATCAAGAAAAGGAGTTGACTAAATATTCTGGAACAAGTCTAAATCAATGTTTAGTTGATTTTTGTTTCACTAGATGGCATTCTGTCATCATTTGAGCAGTCAGGATATGTCTTTATTGTTTTAAAAAATAATCATCATATAGTAAAGCCATCTTCTGATCAGAGGTCCGTCTTTGCCGGTCCCAAGCCTGGATGAAAAAGGAAGAGGGGGAGCAGTAACAAGCTCGCTAAAAAACCTGGGCTCAGCTGGCCCGGCTGATAGTACCCTGTAAGGGCTCCTAATCCAGGAATACAGGATGGGCAGTGTTTGTACTCCATGTTAAGAGTGTCTGCACATGGCGTCTGTTCCTCATGTCAGAGGCAGCCATTTCTTTTGGAGCTAAGTCGGCCTGCTACTGAGAAGTGCTCCCAGTCTTAATGACAAAGGCAGACACATTCTACTTCACACAGTCATGATGGTTCTCAAACAAGCTTGATACCCTAATATGATTGAGTGGAGATAAGAAAGAAGAAGGTCAGTTATTATGTAACATCATTTTACTCTGTTTTGACAAAATCTCTATTTTCTAATTCTAGACCAATCTATTAGAGTATTGAATCAAATTGGTCTCTTCCTTCATTCTTCAGAGTGTTTCCCACCTCCTGTATGGTCAATAGATGAAAGTGGTTATTGAGCCTTTAACTCAAATTTATAAATAGATCATTCCTAGTATATATGATGTTCTCTTCACATATTATAGAATTAAAGAGAAAAAGTCCCAATTGTATACACTCATGAATAAAACTTAAGGAAGTTGTACCTTTTAGCATGTATATCGGGATTCAGACAATAACTCTGAAGATACACTCATGGACAAAACTTAAGGAAGTTGTACCTTTTAGCATGTATATCGGGATTCAGACAATAACTCTGAAAGATACACTCGTGGACAAAACTTAAAGAAGTTGTACCTTTTAGCATGTATATCGGGATTCAGACAATAACTCTGAAAGATACTCTCATGGACAAAACTTAAAGAAGTTGTACCTTTTAGCATGCATATTGGAATTCAGATTATAACTCTGAAAGATATTACAGTGACCTTTATTGAAGACACACGAGATAACCAGGTGTAAATAGCCTCTGTCTCTTTCAAAAAAAAATAAAATAAAATAAAATAAATGACCGGCGATATCAAAGACTTTCAACTTCCTTAAGGCCATTAGTATATTTCTCCCCCATCATCCACACGATTGGGTGAATTCTCCTCAATTATAAGAGATGGATCTGGAAGGAAAGGATGTTCTTGTAGACTTTGTAGAATAGATATATTTGCATCTTGTGTAAATACATCATTTACATATCTCCCCATGTTTCTATATTGGTGTGTTTTTTTATGTAAATATATTATGGCGAGGGTTCATCTCTTTCAGATATACATTCTAATCACCTTCTTTTTGGAGAACTTGTTCATTTTCTTAATAAAAAAAAAAAAAAAATGTGTAGTCATTAAAAGAAAAAAAATCAACTTAATAAAATCTTTTATAATTGATTCAGTACTTCTGTCTGATGATGGTAACAATGCTGTTACCGAAACATCACACACTATTTTATTTGGATTTGGTCTCATATTACCTTGTGTTTCTTTCTAATCTATAATCCAAAATGTGTCTTATCATTGTGTTCTTCTTCTTTTATTTTTGTTGTCACTTGAGTTTAGTACACTGCTATTGTAAAAATCCAATAAGGATAAAGGACTGTGTGTGCCAGGTGGTGACCATGCAGCTAGCAAAAGGCAATGGATGGCTCTATTCAGCGGGTCGCTCCTCTATCCAGCGACAGGGTGCAGCCAACAACTGGGCCTGCGGGTATTACCGCTGCCAGACCCAGTGGAAAGAGAAAGTGCGAGAGCTGGTCAGAAAGGAAGTCGAGGATTGTGATTGGTTGGAAGGATTCTTTCCCCTGATGTCATTGGCTGGAGGAACAGGGAGTGGGTTGGGCTCCATGGTTACAGAGACCCTCCGGGAGGATTACCCTCGCACCCCCATCCTGAATCATGTAAGTTCCTGGGACCATCTCAACACATCTATTTACACTAGAAATGAAAGTTATTTGAGTACAAGTGTTTCTTTTCATACAAATCAAACTTCTACTGTCCTGACTGTGATGAAAAAATATTGGGAGGGCTTGGATCATCAGTAGTAAAATACTTTTCATATTGAAGATAACTTTAAAAAGTATGAGAAGAGTTGAAATGAAGGAGGCACCAATGCCTTTAAGGTGGGGAATCAATTAAATTGTTGTCAATTGTCTAAGGTGGGGATGCCTCTATTGCTGAAGACATTTGTACATATACAACTGTTTTTTTTTTTTTTGCTTATCCCTAGTACACGTGGTACAGGCCATGATAATCATGGTGGGTAGAAGTAGGCGACTGCTTTTACTGTAGGCGCATCACATGTCTACACATGTGAAAAGCAGTTCGACTTTGTACTTACAAATTTGCCAGAGCCCTGTTTGGTTACTTGCACTCGCTGGTGGGGTTGGACTTTTGCAAGAATCGGGGACCATTGGAGCATTTTTTTTTTTAAACAGAAAAAAGTGTCCAATGCGGGATACGAACCCGGGTCGTAGTGGTCGAAAACCAATGGTTTAACCAGCCTTCCACCGACCCCCCCATATACAACTGTATATAAGGAATGAAAGTATTTAAACACAAATGTTTCTTTTTCACATAAAACAAATTTCTACTATCCTTACTGTGCTGAAAAAATATTGGGAGGGGGCTTGGCTCATCAGTGGTAAACCCTTCCAGTGGTTTCGCTAATTTAATCTACCAGACTGCTTCTCTTGGAGTTTTAATACTGTATTGGACAATTCTGCTTATATATGCTGCACTGAAGGGTGGAATCTCATAAATGGTATTCAGGCAAAACTATGAACATAAGCTTTTAGAACAGTAGAATTACATATAACATACTAGAATTTCAATCTACAGTTGAACTTTGTTATAACAACATCGGCTGATACATGGGAATTTTTCCCTAGGCGAGAGATCTATAAAATGAAAGGTCACCTCTCCCATCAAAATAGGTTACAAAACTAAGCATCTCTGCAAACATCCAGGACTGATGAAGGCCCCATTTGTCCCAAACTATGGTCTCCAGGTTAGCCTTCAGAGTTTACCAAAGTTTTTAGGAGAAGTGCCTAAATAGTTTAAAATTTTCGGGGGGTCGGTGGAAGGCTGGTTAAACCGTTTGGTTTTCGACCACTACGACCTGGGTTCGATTCCCGCATTGGACACTTTTTACTGTTAAAAAAAATGCTCCAATGGCCCCTGATTCTGGCAAAAGTCCAACCCCACCAGCAAGTGCAAGTAACCAAACGGGGCTCTGGCACATTTGTAAGTGCAAAGTCGAACTGCTTTTCACATGTGTAGACATGTGGTGCGCTTACAGTAAAAGCAGTCGCTAACTACCCACCATGATTATCATGGCTTTGAGATAAGAAAGAAGAAGAAAATTTTCAATAGAAAGATGGTGCATTTATATATCGTGTAAATATAAACTCAGTTTGATTCTTCAGTGGAGGCATTCCTCCTCAATTATAAGAGTTCATCGAATCCTTTGACAGTTGTTTATTTGCCTTCTCTTCCAGTTTTTAATACTCAAAGCCAATTCTATTGACACAAGTCTCTCCATTTCTTTTCCAGCTTTTGATCAAATATTTTATTTGGCAACACTAGACAAATGACCTGTCTTTGCGGTGGTATGCAAAAGAATAAACAGAATATAAGAAAAGGAAGCATTAAAGCACGAATATTTATTTTAAACATAAAATAAACAGAATATGTAAATTAGTCCATTATCAAATTAATTTGCATATCCCAGAGTTGGAACTGTGACTCCTACTGATCTAACTCATTTTAAAGTTTTCATCTCAATGTAAATTTGAGTAAAATTAATCATTACTCCAAGGAAAAGGGAATTTTCTCTGTAGAGATATGATTAATGTTACTCAATATTGATGAAAGCAGAGAGAATTATCATAGATTTAACTATTTTTGTAGATATATTTATGATTATTTAATTAAAAAGGCATATATTGTATCAAAAAATTATTTATTTTACCAATATTTCAGTTGGCTGAATGCCAACCTTTATACCTTATAACCTTGATAAAGGTTGGCGTTCAGCCAACTGAAATATTGGTAAAATAAATTATTTTTTGATCCAATATATACCTTTTTAATTAAAGATTTATTTATGGATTGCTCTATTTTAAAAATTTATGATTATCTTTCTAACCTGAAAGGTTCAGGTTCATAATATATATTATTGTTTCTCTTTTTTTAATAATTTTTGATTACTTTTTCTTGTCTAATATGTTTATAACTGTTTCTGTTTAAAAAAATGTAAATTGATGCAATTATCCCTAGCCGGGATATCACATTTTGTGTGTTGAAATAAATATTGATGATTATTGTATAGAATTGTCAATTTGTAAACATTGTGATACCAGTAAGTACAGTGCTGTGTTTCCAGGTGGTCTGCCCATTCTACCAGGGGGAGGTGAGTGTACAGAGCTACAATGTGGTTATGTCAGCGGCCAGTCTCACCACTTCAGCTGACGGCCTGGTAATCCTGGAGAATGACCAGCTCTTACGGGTCATTACGCAGCGCCTAGGTGTGCGTGATGCCTGCATGAACGACCTGAACACTCTAGCGGCTCAGCAGATGGCATCTCTCTATCTCCCAGCCTGCCTGCCAACTTCCCACTTCTCTTCCACCCTAGGTAGCCATTCTTGTAACCCCATATATTATGGACCAAAACATTATGGTATAGTCACAAGGTAATAAGACCAAATCCAAATAAATAAATAGTGTGTGACGTTTCGGTAACAGCGTTGCTACCATCTTCAAACAAAAGTACTGAATAAGATATTTTACCACAGCATGTTTTAATAAATTATTGTTATCAAGTATGTAAACAAGATAACAGTAACTATTTAAAACATGCTGTGGTAAAATATCTTATTTAGTACTTTTGTCTGAAGATGGTAGTAACACTGTTACCAAAACGTCACACACTATTTATTTATTTGGATTTGGTCTTATTACCTTGTGTTTATAATCTATAATCCAAATTGTGCCATATCATTTTGGTATAGTAAAACCCTGCTAAAATGAACCTGGGATATAGCGAACCTATCGGAGTTCACTATTGAAGGGTTTTATTAGGGGGGGGTTCAATTTGGGTTTTAGATTAGAAACACAAGGTAAAATAAGACCAAATCTCCAAATAAATAAATAGTGTGTGATGTGTGTAGTGTGTTATTACCATCATCAGACAAAAGTATTGAATGAGAAAAAATATCACAAAATGTTCTTTAAATAGTTACTGTTATCAAGTTATCTTGTTATCAAGTGTGTCACATTTCTACCTACGTTTATCACATGCTGCGATATTTTTCTCATTCAAGACTTTTGTCTGATGATGGTAACAATGCTGTTACTGAAACGTCACACACTATTTATTTATTTGGTCTTATTACCTTTGGTTTTTTTAATCTATAATCCATACTGTGCCTTATCATTATAATTAACAAATATAATCAATATTAATAAAAATCATTCCCTTATTAATCAGGACACCTCTAGGACCAGCTATATTGGTTGTCAAATTCACAATTCCCATCTGATGTCCATCTTCAATCAGGGTTGGACATTGAGGTGGTCCACAAGAATTCATGAAAAATATTTCAAAACTACTAAATGAATGTGGTAAAGTTGCTATGACAATTCTCTGGCCGATATATAGCTGGAGTTTGTTATAGATGAAGTCTATTTTGTCCATGAGTATATACAGTTAAACCTGTCTATAGCGCCCCCTCTTGGGACTCACCAAAATAGGGTGCTATAGAGAGGGGGTGCTATAGACAAGTCACTTTAAATGTAAATCGTATCGTACTACGTATTTAAAATCGGGTGCTATAGAGAGGAAGGCGCTATTTAGAGGGTGCGCTATAGACAGGTTTAATTGTATATATATATATATTAAAAATAAAGAAGGCATCTCCTGACCACGAGCACATGTGCTTTTTAGATGGCAGAGCGCCATCTAGTGGAGCAAAAATAAACTAAACGTTTATTTAGCTTGCTCCGAGATATTTGGCCAACCCAATTTCTTGATAAATCAAGAAAAGCCATCCACGAACGCGTTTCGCGCTGTTGGCGCTCGTCAGCGTGGAGAAGGCTGTAACCACTGCGACCAAAAATATTTTTGGTCCCAATGGTTTCCCGAAAAATCAAGAAATGTATATATACATATACAGTAAAACCCCGCTAATACGAACCCTGGATATAGCGAACTTTCCCTTATGACGAACCCACGGCGATTCCCGATTCCATTCCATTGAAAATACCATCGTTATAACGAACTTTGCAATTTTTAAAATAACGAACTACCCCTATAACGAACCTATTTTCGATCCCAAAATGATAAAATCTATTTAAAATACTATGCTTATAACGAACTTAAAATTGTGATTTAAAAGATTTTTAAAACAACAAAATTTTGAGCATGTTTCAGTTCACGGATCGTGATTTCAAAACAAAAAATTAGCGCCATTGTTTGTTTTCATTTCCATTCTATTTTTGCTGTATGTTGTATAAATTTTTACACATTATACTTTTATTTAATAGAATATCTTTGCATTCGAAAATTTTGAAATAAAAGAAAAATACAAATGGCTTCCAAAATAAAGAAAAGAAACAAAGAATGGCATTCTAAAAAAAACAAAAAAAAACAGTGGCAGCATGCCCTTTTAGAAGCGTTCTATATCAAGTTTAACCTAGGCTAAAACATAATTCCAAATAATTTTAAAGCCAGAAATGGTTTGAATATAACAGGTTAAAAACAAAATTTAATATACACTTCAGAAGAATATGTGGAAACTGGAATGGGAAGAAGAAGAAAAAAAAAAATAGTTCTTCCAAGTTCCCCGTGTCTCATGAGCCACAAACAAATCGACTTATAAATTCTCAAAAACTACCACTACAGTTCTATTTTTAGAATGGAATTCTTGTTAGGTATATGACTCATTCAGGGTTCGCGGTTATTCCCCCTTGCCGTCCTTTTCCCTACCGATTTGGTGTTTGCAAATTGGCGTTTTTTATTCGCAAATTTACTGATCGCGCTATCGTATCAACATGTTTCGCGTCCGATTTTTCTGAATTGGATACTTTTGATTCATCCTCAATTGATTTAGAATACACAGAACTTTATTTATTTGATGGAAATAACGATATTTTAAGACAATTCTGATTTTTAAATTTTACTTTTCATTTTCAAACAACAAGGTATTAGAGGCATTTTTTCAAATAAATTTAGTATTATATTATTTGAGGAAGATGTTCTAAAATACTCTTATACCTTTTAAATATATAATTAATAATGTTTTGCCTAGGGGATTTGACATAGTTTTTAAATAATACATAGGTTTATATATAAACATGTATGCTAATGATAAGAAGAACCTATTATCAAATGACTTCTTTTGATATTCAGCATTACTGTAAAGAAATAGGTCAATTTAGGGAATTAAAACAAAGTGACCATTATTAAGTGGCTGTCTTTTCCTGTTTGTATGGCTGTTTTTTAATTATATGGTCTAAAAATTTAGAAAAGTTTAAAAAAATGGCCAAACCGTGGCTATAGTGAACCAAAAGCTCTGTCCCATTGGGGTTCACTATAGAGGGGTTTTACTGTATATATATATTAAAAATAAAGAAGGCATTTCCTGACCACAAGCCCATGTGCTTTTTAGATGGCAAAGCGCCATCTAGTGGAGCAAAAATAAACTAAACGTTTATTTAACTTGCTCCGTGATATTTGGCCAACCCAATTTCTTGATAAATCAAGAAAAGCCACCAACGAATGCGTTTCGCGCTGTTGGCGCTTGTCAGCATGGAGCAGGCTGTACCACTTCGACCAAAACGATTTTTGTTCCCAGAGGCTTCTTGAGAAATCAAGAAATGGGTATTTAAGGCCAAATTTGCGTAAATACGCTTAACACATGAAAAAATAATAGAAAAAAAAAAAGATAAGTGGGTCAGATGTTGATATTAAAAATAAAGAAGGCATTTCCTGACCACGAGCACATGTGCTTTTTAGATGGCAGAGCGCCATCTAGTGGAGTAATATATTTATATTCACATTCCCATAAAAAAAAACCTCAATCCTAGTGAGATAGGCTAAAATTTGTCACTGCGCAGGAGACATTCTGGCCCACTGCGTGCCCC